TTTTAAAGGGAAGCCGGACAGCTTGATAAGTGTATTGAGAAATGATTAATCACCCATGTGGTTAATTCTGTTTAATACGGGTTAACACAGCCGACGTCTTCAAGTCAGAAGGGATGGCTTTTCCTTATAACTCTGAAGATAATAGTAGGTCAGATTTACAAGGTGGGAAAGGGACTGGCCTGGAACTGGCCAAGCGGAGTTGAAATTGGCATGGAAATGACCTTATTTGGGGTGTTTTAATGGCCAATGACTTCTCTCCCTGGTTTTGTAACCATCCAAAGTTTTATTTCTTGGAAGGAAGGCTGGCTTTATCTCTTGAGTTGGAAGAACTCCATGGCTTTGATCCAAAAGTTTTGTAAAAAAAATCTTCAACTGAAGTGTTGTCCACCCCTCCGACACACACACACACATTCTGATGGGGGGGGATCTGATTTTTAAAAGAGCCGATAGGCCCATGATGGCGAATCTATGACACACGTGCCCGAAGTGGCACACGGAGCCATGTTGCCAGGCATGCACAGCATCGCCCGTTCCTCTTCTGGGTTTCTGGCGCGCGTGTGCACGTGATGGTTAGCTAGCCTTTTTGCATGCGGTACTGCCAGAAACTGGAAGCAGGTCTTCCTTTTTCCGGCGTGAGCATGTACGCCGGCCAGCTGTCGTCACGCGCACATGCGTGCCAGAAACCCGGAAGAGAAACCGGAAGTTCAGTAGCTGAAACCGGAAGTTCGTTTTCTGGTGCTCGCAGGCGCCTTGGGCAGCTCCACTTCCTGGTTGCGGCTCAGATGCGCACGCTCCCTTTTCGGCGCTCGGTGCCAAAAAGATTTGCCATCGCTGCGATAGACTCTAGGAGACATGGGATTTGCTGGTTCTTTTCTTCCTTTCCCTCATTATGGTTTGAGGGGGAGGGAGGTTTTTTTTCAGAGCGCCCCCACCCCAAAAGAATTTCTTCTCACAATGATGAAAGAAAAGGGAACCCTTATCCACAGAGGAGGCCTTTATGACAAGCCAGGATATGCTTGTTACTAACATAGCTAGGAGTGAGCTTCAAAAATTTTAGCAAGGGGTTCTCTGCCTGGTTGCTGGGTGGGCATGGCTTAGTCAGCCTCCTGCACCACAGTGCGGGGGGGGGCATTTTTGCCCTCCCCAGGCTCCCGAGGCTTTTTTCGAGCCTCCGGAAGGTGAAAACGGCCTCCCCAGGCTCCAGAGGCCCTCTGGAGGCCGGAAACTTTCCGGCCTTCCTGAACTTCCGGTAGGCCCATTTTTCACCCTTCTTGAGCCTCCACGCGCACCCTGCACTTACCTGCATCCAAAACGGGCCATGTGGGGATTCCTGGGAGGGGTGGGGGGGGGGGCCAGCCAGGAATGGGATTTGGGGGTTTTCCGAACAGCACAGAATCTTAGCTAGAGGTTCTCCCGAACCCCCAGCAGCCCACCCCGAACATAGCTAAGCCTTATTCCAATGTGGCGGATGTTTGTTGGCTCCAGCCCTGTCCAGCAAGATCTCGTGCCCAAAATAAATGATAATTCGCAGTTGTGCAACACTTCTGACAGTACAAAACGATTTGCGTACACTCTATAACTTGCTTATAACTGAGCAGCCTCTTTGTGGCATAATAAATATTTGTTTTCTAGCGAAGGTGATTTAGAAAACGATGCTTTAGCGCAGAGTATATATTTGAAACTTTTTAACTACATTCCCTGCAGCAAGATCAGGACAATTGATTTTTTTATTTTCTGGAAGTTTGTATGCCTACTTGAAGCCAATTTGACTGAAATGCATGGATCTTGTGTCACAAACGAAGGATTTTTCAAGAGGTTGGAACAATATAAAATTCATGAGACCAGTTCCTGATTTTAAAAGCCAAGCCATTTGTGGCGCTAAACCAGGAATCTGCAACCTTAAACATTCAAAGGATGTTTAATATGGACATATGGACACGTTTCCCACAGAAAAGAAAACACCGGGAGCCACAAAAACCCTTCCCGTGCCTATTTCTTGAGCAGCCACCAAACTAGCTTATGTAGTTGAATTAAACATTCTGTTTTCTTCTGAAACTTTTCTTTTCTTGGATTTATCCATAGTTGGCCTACCGGGGTTTGAAAAGCTCAATAAATTACGTGCCGGTGGGGGGCGCACATTGGTGGCTGTGACGCATATTTTGAGTGACAGGGAGCCGCAGCAGAGGGGTGAAAGAGCCACATGCGGCTCCAGAGCCGCAGGTTGCTGACCCCTGTGCTAAACTCATGCCCCTTTCCATATCTTTAATTTCCCCAAATTTGAATACAGGTAGTCCTTGACTTACAGCGACAATTGAGCCCAACATTTCAGTTGCTAAGTGAAACATTTAAGTGAGTTTCGCCCCGTGTTATGACCTTTCTTGCCACAGTTGTTAACGGCAGTTGTTAAGTTAGTGACAAGGTCAGTTCAGCGAATCTGGCTTCCCTGTTGACTTGGCTTGTCAGAAGGTCGCAAAAAGAGTATATCACATAACCCTGGAAGGACACTGCAACCGTCATAAATACGAGACAGTAGCCAAGCGCCCGAATTTTGATCGCATGACCCCGAGGACGCTGCAACGGTCATAACTGTGAAAAACGGTCCCAAGTCACTTTTTTCGGTGCCTGAACAGACACTAAATGAATTGTCGTAAGTCAAAGACCACCTGTAGTAATCGAAGAGATGTTTTACAAAGGAGTTGTAAAACATAGTTTCTGGTCAATCTCTGTGAACTAAGAGTACTACTGATAAAAAAATAAATAAATCTGGTTTTGAGGTCTCCAGAATCTTTTATGCTTTTCTAGGAATAAATAGAAGGAAAGGGGGAATGGTGATCGTAGGAGGCAACCGTTCGTATTTCTGAAGATTTGGCTCATCGTGTTTTGTGCGACAAAGACTTCTTGCCAGAACTTAATTTGCAGCCTTTCAGCCTTGCAATTATCGCAATTAACTGATAAGGTCTGTTACTGCAGTTAATTCTTTGAAGGACTCTTGCCTGGATTTTTCAGTGTGTGAATACAATTAATTCATAAGAGGTAAAGAGGGGTTTTTTTGTGACAAGGAGCCTGTTTCTTGCTTCTGCTAAAGCTGGGTCAGAAGAGATTTGCTAGCTTTGGGAAAATTTACAAGATTGTGTTGCCAAGTCCACAAAACTGATTTTGTCTGGCTAAGCATCACTAGTTTTTAGGCCTTAAAAAGAAAGACTTTTTTTTTTAAAAAAAGAATGTATTCAAATGTATGTAACCAAGAATTGTCTTAACCTCGGAAAGAACAAAGCACATAGATATTATATTTATTTTGGTAATGCATTTTAGATTATATATTTATTATTGTAAAGCCTTTTTAGAGATCGGTCTGGATAAGTTAATATGCTGTCATTATCATTGATAATGATCATAATAAAGTTCATTTTCTGTTCGGGAATACATTAGTTGGGGAAAAAAATAATACTCCATCAGGACATTTCAAAAATTATAATAGACTCTTGGGACCCAACTCTCCTCAAATGCCACAAAGCTCTGAATTTTATTGTTCTAATGCAAATAATCAGTTTAAAACTAATGTTTCCAAAGAGATTTGGAAAATGAATTCCATTCAATTGCTTAGCTTGGTGAAGCTGAATTTCTGCATCCAATTCAAGTACTGAAAAATGGTTTGAAATCAATGAGAACGTAACCAAGCCGCTCCAATAATTCAAATCAACTTTTTTTGGGGGGGGGATCAATCCATTTGATCCGGAAATTCAACTCGATCAAATCAGCTCCAAATCCATTCTCTGTCTCAGATATTTATTTATCCTTTCAACGCACAGTTTTGGAAGGAGATGAGGATGAGTTGAAGCCAAAGGACTATTATTTCCCAGATCGTTTCAAAGGAATGTATATATCTTTTTTATCACTGGGATCGAAAGTTTAAAATAAGAATTTAAGCTTGACTTGTGCCTAAGGGGGGAAAATAAAGACTGAATGCAGAGCTGTCATGTCAAATGCCTGTTTTTTTTTTGCTGTCAGTATTGAAAAGATTTCATCTTTAGCAGCTGTAAACTTCTGATAAAATCTAATTTAGCAATCAATCTTACCGTATTCATTCCGATGGACTATTGAATGCAAGTCTACCCATTAGCCAACTAGGGAAGAATATTAATTGAGTAGTCTTCTCCTTGTCCTTCTCCTCCTCCTCTTTGCAAACCCCACCCCCTTCTAATACTGATAATATTCCCTAATTGGGTTATGAAATGTTTGCAAGAAAAAAACCAAGCTCAGAGAGTACCAAAGGACTCCACTCTCCTCCTCCTCTTCCTCCTTCCATCCTTCTCATCTCCCTCCCTGTCCCTTCTCCTCCTCCTCCTCTTTGCAAACCCCACCCCCTTCTAATACTGATAATATTCCCTAGTTGGGTTATGAAATGTTTGCAAGAAAATAACCAAGCTCAGAGAGCACCAAAGGACCCCACTCTCCTCCTTCCTTCCTCCTTCCATCCTTCTCCTCATCTCCCTCCCCGTCCCTTCTCCTCCTCCTCCTCTTTTCACCAATCTCTTTTGATTGGTAATTCAAAAGAGATAGCGGCACCTTTCTCCGAATCAGAACGTCGGCGTGTTACTTAAGAGATTCCCCCCACTTAATTTCCCAGGGTCCAGAAACCAGAACTGCTTCGTCCTCACAAGAGACGCATCCTGTGAGCAGGATTTCTCATCAGGATGCTAACAGTTGCAAATCACTAGAAGGAATTGCTTTCAACCTCAAAATCCCGAAGAAGAGAAAAAAAACATTGTTTTTCCTCGCAGAGTCGTTGCCGCTGCTCTTCCTCTCTCTATTCGTTTCGGCTGGTTGTTCATCCCACTTTCTCAGCCGTTCCTCCTTTCAGTTTTGCATCCTTTTTAGAACTAACGCCTTTGCACACCGTCTATTGTGAGCAATAATAGGTCTTTAAAAATACCTCTTGTCAAGGGTAAAACTGGCATGTCATGCACTTAACCGAGTTAATGCATTCCCTGATTAAATAGGCAAACTTCTAAAAAGTTCCAAAAAACAAAACAAAAAAAACAACCTCTTGCTGAATAATGCTAAGGGTTCTCTCTAGCTATCAAAAGTGAACAATCTGTTCTCCCCCCCCCTTTGTTTTCACGTGAAAGTATCATCCTACGTGAGTTCCCACGCTCAGGGCCGCTTCATAAACTCAAGTCAACAATGATGTGTTCGAATATTTGCGTGTGGCCTTTAAAACTGGAAGCGAAGAAGAAATCTCGCCTGTCCGTCGACACCGCGGTGAAGGAGCGGGGCGCCTGCACGTAGATCTCCTTAAATATCTGAAAGAGGCTCTTCTCCTCATCCCACTGGAATATTTGGGAGAAGGTGTAGTCACTTCCCAGAGCGAGGTAATGATGATCCTTGAAGGAGAAAGGCTGTAGGGTCATGGCACCACGAGAAGGAAGAGCCTGGATCTCCACAAACTGCTTGCTGTTCCATTTCATGATCCTTGAATCGCCGATAAATCTGGTGAGAGAGATGTAGAGGCTGTCTTCTATCCGGAAGCTCTTCACCGCTAACACGTCTTCCATGTTGGGTATCTCACCGTGTGGGAGGAACTTTCTGGAACTCTTGTTCCACTGAAGGATAATAGGAATCTGGGAGCGACTCGACAGGATCAAATGAGATTTCCCATCTATATCAACGAATTCGGCATCCGTGTCCCGGAACCACTCGTGCAGGGACTGGTAGGAGTAGAAACCCTTGTTGTTCCATTTGTAAACCGTGGTCAAGCCAGCTTTCGAGCTATCTGCAATGACGAAGAAGGTTTCGCTCTCTATCTCGAAGAGCTCGATGTCGTTTGGCTTGGAGATGCGGGAGACTTCAATATCCTGGAACTTGACAAATTTGGTCCAGCTTTCCTCGTACTTATAAATGTGGGATCCGCCAAAGAGCTGAGCTACCACCACAAAGACTTGGTCGTCAATCAAGATAGCTTTGCAACCTACTATGGACTGGCCTGTTGACTCAAACAAAAGGATAGTGTTAGCAGAGCACGAACTGTATCTACTGTTTATGCAAGTCCTTCCTTTAAAGCAGGGGTCCCCAACCTTTCTGGGGTTGGGGGACCGGAGCAGGGGGAGGGAGAAAAGAGGGGGTAATTTTGTGGGAGGGGCAATGGCATGTGGGCCTGTGTGTTTCATTGGTTGCATGGAAGGTTATCTTGGGAACTCAAGTACAGATAGTCCTCGGCTTACAATGGTTCATTTAGTGACCTTTCAAAGTTACAACGGCCCTTAGTGACTTAGGACTGTTTGTCACCCTTATGACCGTTGCAGCCTCCCCTCGGGTCACCTGATCAAAATCCAGACGCTTGGCCACTGACTCATATTTATGACGGTTGCAGGGTCACGTGCTCCCCTTTTGTGACCTTCTGAGAGGCAAAGTCAAAGGGGGGGAATCCAGATTCATTTAACGACCACATGACTAGCTTCACAAATACGATGATTCCCTTAACAATGACGGCAAGGGAAGTCGTACGATGAGGTCAAAACTCACTTTAGCAAATGCCTCACTGAGCCACAGAAACGTTGGACTCTGTCACGGTCGTAAATCGAGGACTACCTGTACCTTAAATCTTTCTCCCTCTCGTCTCCAATGAAATGTTGGCTGCACCTAGTACTATTTTCGTCCAGTTGGAGCTCAGAAATGCATTTCTTTCCCCAGCTGGATGGTGCCACGCAATCTCCCGTTTTGCAATTTAATGCTGATTTTAATTTTCTCCCTGGGTCCAGAGGTGGTATTCAGCCGGTTCGGTAGCGGAGATCGCGGATGTGAGTAAAACCCAACAGTAGTGGGTTTCAAAAATTTTTACTACCGGTTCTGTGGGTGTGGCTTGGTGGGTGTGGCTTGGTGGGCGTGGCAGGGGAAGGATACTGCAAAATGTCCATTCCCACCCCACTCCAGTGGAAGGATACTGTTTTGTTTTGTTAAAGTTTTTATTTTTATTTCTCATAAACACATTTACATGTGCAGTCATTTATCCATCATTTTTCATTCATCTTTTCTTTCAACTTTCATTTTTCATTTTTACTTTTTCGGGCTGCTCTTTTACCCTTTACCTTTACTCCAACCTTTCTTCTTCTCCTCCCCTTCTCTTCCTTCCTGTTTCTCCTCCTACTTCCTTCGTTCTTCCTCTCCTTCTCTTTCCTACTTCCCCTTCTCTTCCCCCAATCCTCTCTTCTTCCTTCCTTCTAACCTTCTCCTCTGCTCCTCTATCCGCTCCCTTTTCTTCCTCTCCTTTTCCTTTTCTTCTTTCTCCTCTTCTCTCCTCTCCTCTCTTCTCCTTTCCTCTCTCTCTCTACTCCAGGGGAAGTATACTGTAAAGTCTCCATTCCCTCCCCAATCCAGGGGAAAGTTAAAAATCCCCATTTCCTCCCGATCAGCTGGGACTCAGGAGGCGGAGAATAGATGAGGGCGGGCCCAGTCAGAATTTTTACTACCGGTTCTCTGAACTACTCAAAATTTCCGCTACCAGTTCGCCAGAACTGGTCAGAACCTGCTGAAAGCCATCTCTGCCGCCCAGGTTCTCAAAACCACCTTGACAGAATGAGAAAACCCACCCCGTAACCCCCAAGTAAGCCTTGACACTTAAGAGTGGCGCATCGGGTTGTTTTTTTTTTACCGGTGATGTTGTCATAACTCCGGAAGTTCTTCTCAATGTGATCCCATTCCAGCACCATGCAGTTTTCCATGCTGGTTTGCGCAATGGCCACGTAGACGTCGTTTTTGGAGTTGAAGGTGTCGATCGAGACTGACTGATAGGGCAAAATCTGATGGACAACAAAATCTGTAATCATATTTAATCGAAAACAAGCGTGTTACCATGGAACTCGGCAGGATGCAGGAAGCTGTTCGTCGCTGATTTGGAAATACTCGGCTTGGGGAAGCTAACCCCGAACTAAAAATAAAACATACAGGCAGTCCCCGACTTACGACGGTTCATTTAGCAACCGTTCCAAGTTACGACGGCGCTGAAAAAAGTGACTAAGGACCATTTCTCACACTTGCAATCTTTGCAGCATCCCCGGATTCACGGGATCAAAATTCAGACGCTTGGCAACTGACTCATATTTATGACGGTGGCAGTGATCCCCTTTTGCAACCGTCGGACAAGCAAAGTCAACGGGGAAGCCAGATTCACCTTAACAACCAGGCGACTAACTTAACAAATTCAATGATTCACTTAACAACGGTGGCAAGAAAAGTCGTAAAATGGGGCCAAACTCGCCGAACAAATGTTTCACTTGGCTGAATAGATACTGGGCTCAATTACGATCGTAATGCAAGGACTATCTGTCTGTACTGTTCACATTCATTCGGATTCTCCATTCCTAGCTCATGTTGCCTGTTGTATAATCCTCAGAGGGATTTTGTACTAATCCATGGTGAAGGCAATTAGCAACCAAGGGTGTTATTTCTTTCACGCTCTGCTATAAAGTTGCTTAAAGTCAGCAATTTAACAGGAGAACAGAGTTGGAAGGGACCTTGGAGGTCTTCTTGTCCAACCCCTTGCCCAGGCAGGAAACCCTCCACCACTTCAGACAAATGGTTATCCAATCTCTTCTTAAAAACGTCCGGTGTTGAAGCATTCACAACTTCTGGTGGCAAGTTGTTCCACTGATTAATTGTTCTCACTATCAGGAAATTTCTTAGTTCTAGGTTGCTTCTCTCCTTGGTTAGTTTCCACCTGCTACTTCTTAAATTAAAGCTTAAAAGTTACAATCCCTGTTTGCACCAAAGAGACAAACTGCAGGCTCAAAGGAGGACGGTTTTAACTATTTAACTATTAATTTTAACTATGAGCCACGGTGGCGCAGTGGTTAGAGTGCAGTACTGCAGGCTACTTCTGCTGACTGCCGGCTGCCTGCAATTTGGCAGTTCAAATCTCACTAGGCTCAAGGTTGATCCCTCCCTCCCTCCCTCCCCTCCCTCCCTCCCTCCTTCCTTCCTTCCTTCCTTCCTTCCTTCCTTCCTTTCATGGTGGCACAGTTGTTAGAATGCAGCATTGCAGGCTAACTCTGCCAACTGCCAGGAGTTCGATCCTGACAGGCTCAAGGTTGACTCAGCTTTCCATCCTTTTGAGGTCAGTAAAATGAAGACTCAAATTGTTGGGGGCAAGAGGCTGACTCTGTAAAACCATTTAGAGAGGGCTGTAACAGCACTGAGAAACGATATATAAGTCTAAGTGCTATTGCTAGTCCGTCCTTCCTTCCTTCCTTCCTTCCTTCCTTCCTTCCTTCCTTCCTTCCTTCCTTCCTTCCTTCCTGCCTTCCCAGTAATTAGAATGCAGTATTTCAGGCTAACTCTGCCCACTGCCAGGAGTTCGATCCTGACTGGCTCAAGGTAAAATGAGGACCCAGATTGTAGGGGGAAAGAGGCTGACTCTGTAAACTGCTTAGAGAGGGCTGTAAAGGGCTGTATATACGTCTAAGGCTACTGTTCCTTCCTTCCTTCCTTCCCTCTCTCCCAGTAGTTAGAATGCAGTATTGCAGTCCGACTCTACCTACTGCCAGCAGTTCGATCCTGACTGGCTCAAGGTTGACTCCGCCTTCCATCCTTTTGAGGTCAGTAAAATGAGGACCCAGATTGTTGGGGCAAGAGGCTGACTCTGTAAACCACTTAGAGAGGGCTGGAAAGCACTGTGAAGCGGTATATAAGTCCAAGTGCTATTGCTATTGCTAATGGGCCATAAATACAAAAAGCCAAATTCATCCTAACTTAACTTGCAAAGACAGTCTGTTTTACCCAAATACCTGTAGTGGTGCATTCATCGTCAAAGCTGGAGGCTTCGTTTAATTTCTTGTCCTGAAATTCTGCTGGGCCCACACACAGGACTTCCGAAACGGAGGAGTTGGTCATCTTTAGCCACAAAAACAACCACTTGGCTTTGCAATCGCACTCAAACTTGTTTCCCCTCAAGTCTCTAGAAATACAGGGGAAAAAAAAGCTTGTTTGCAAAGGGCTTGAATCCTAAATCAACAGATCCTTGCAAGGTTTCCGTTTGGAAAAAGAGCAACGGTGCAGATTGGACCGTAGGTGAGAAATGAGAAGAAACCAGAATGGGATTTTTAAAGACAATGTTTGTCGATGAAGTTTAATTAATAAAAGCTCTTTCTGTTGTGGGTATTATTTATTTGTCACAAGAAGGCAAATAACAATAACAACAAACAACAACAATAATAATAGATGTATCAACCATCAGCACCAGTCAATGGTATTTAAGATACATTTTTAAATGTTCAGTTGACTGTGTTTCATGTTTAATGAATAAAAGAGACGATAAGATGATGATGATGATGATGATAATAATAATAATAATAGTAATAATAATAATAATAATAATAATAATAATAATAATAATACTTGGTTGATACCTAGGATGCTGGCAGCAACCTGTATCAACCATCAGCGCCAGTCAAGGATATTTGTGATACATTTTTAAATGTTCAGTTGACTGGGCCTCGTGTTTAATGAATAAAGATATATAATAATAATAATAATAATAATAATAATAATAATAATAATAATAATAATAATAATAATAATAGTAATAGTATAACAACAATAATAATAATAATAGCTGCTGAGCTATTAACCAGCCTCAAAGGATGTGAATCTCACTAAAGATTAACCAATAATAATAACAATAATTTTGAATACAGATGGATCGTCACTTGGAACGCAACACGCCAGATATCACAGTTGTCGAAAAGCAAAACATACAATTTATTGACATCGCGGTACCAGGAGACGAAGAAAAAGAACTGGAAAAAAATCACGAAATATCGCGACCTGGCCATCGAAACTACACGGCTATGGATGAAACATGTCACAGTGATACCCGTTGTCATCGGGGCACTTGGTACCATGTCCAAGAATGTTCTAAGATACATCAGCAAATTGCAGCTACCTGCAGTAATACCAGCCGGAACTGCAAAAAACTGCGCTACTTGGAATATCGTACATCTTAAGAAGGTACTTGGTTGATCCCTAGGACGCTGGCAGCAACCCCTATCAACCATTAGCACCAGTCAATGGTATTTTTCAAATGTGCCTCTTGCTAGCCCCAATTTCACATCCAAACAGCTCAAAAGAAAAATTCTGAATGCTGAGATAAGATTTAAAACCCACAAAACAACAACAACACGATGAAGCTCTACTTACAGTTCGATCAGAGAGTCTAAATCACTAAAGATGTCCCTTGGCAAAGCTTTAATCTGGTTATTGGCGAGAGAGCTGGGAAAGTAAAGTTAGATGTTACAATAATTTTCAAAACCGTTTAAACCAGGGGTGAAATCTAAAATTTGTTACTACTGGTTCTATGGGCGTAGCTTGGTGGGTGGGTGGGGGGTAATGTGACTGGGTGGGTGTAGCCATTTTTTTTTTTACTTTTAAAACCCTTTTTTCTACAACCTCTTTGGCTAACAGGTTGTTAAAAAAATGTTTTCAAAAGGCTCTGAGGATCCAAGCCTCTGCCGATCAGGGAACTCAGCTTGGATCGTCAGAGCATTTAAAAGAAAAAAAAAGGATTTTTTTTTTCTTTTAAATGCCTTTGACGAGCCGCGCGATCATCAGAGGCTTTTTTTCTTTCTTTTAAAAGCATTTTTTTCAGCCGAAGTTGTAGAAAAAATGCTTTTAAAAGTAAAAAAAAAAAAAGCCTCTGATGATTGTGCGGCTTAGCTGGGCATGGGGGGGGAGGGATTTTTGCTACCGGTTCTCCGAACCACCCGCCTCCATCACTACCGGATCGGGTGATCCAATCCGAACCGGGAGCATTTCACCCCTGGTTTAAACCCTAGGTAGAAAGCTGAATTCAGTAACACTGTGGTATGTTGGAAAGTTCTCAATTCCCAGTGTTTTGTTTTGTTTTTATTTATTTTTTTAAATACAAATAATACAAATATAGTACATATACATCTAAATATACAAACTATATACAAATATACAAATAAGAGCCTTGGTAGTACAGTGGTTTAATGCACCCTGTTATTAACACAGCTGCCTGCAATTACTGCAGGTTCGAATCTTGCCAGGCTCAAGGTCGACTCAGCCTTCCATCCTTTCGAGGTAGGTAAAATGAGGACCCAGATTGTGGGGGCAATAAGCTGACTTTGTATAAATATACAAAAGGATGAAGGCTATTGCTTAACGCATTGTAAGCCGCCCTGAGTCTTTGGAGAAGGGCGGCATATAAATCAAATTAAATATAAATATATATATATATATATATACAAACAAATTTGCTGAAAGGACTGTGTTGTGGAGTTGTGCTTTTTGCAGGACAACCCATGCCTAAGAGGCTGCACCTGTGTTCAACAGCGAAGGGTCACAGGGAAAAATAAACATCCTGCAGGAAGCATAGGATGAGTTTCAGGATGTGTAACTTCGGACGGTCATTAAACGAACTGTCGTAAACTGAGGACTACATCTACTCAGCCAGCGTAACAGCATGCTGAGGTGTTAAGCCAGGGGTGGGCTGCTGGAGGTTCGCCGTAGTTCGGGAGAACCTCTAGCTAAGATTCTGAGCAGTTCGGAGAACCCCCAAATCCCACTCCTGGCTGTCCCACCCACCCTTCCCCTTCCAGGAGTCCCCACGCGGCCCGTTTTGGATGCAGGGAAGTGCAGGGTGCGCGTGGAGGCTCAGGGAGGGTGAAATACGCGCCTACTGGAAGTTCGGGAAGGCCGGAAACAGGCCCGTTTCCAGCCTCCGGAGCCTGGGGAGGCCGTTTTCACTCTCCCAGAGACTTGAGGAAAGCCTCCGGAGCCCGGGGAGGGCAAAAACACACACACACACACGCCGTGGTGGAGGAGGCCGACTAGGCCACACCCACCATAGCCATGCCCACCCAGCAACCAGGCAGAGAACCCCTTGCTAAAATTTTTGAAGCCCACTCCTGTGTTAAGCAAGATATAAATTAGCGTGAAAACAACAACAACAACTTACAGATGAGTCAAGTCTCGGAGACCCCGAAATGCATTTCTTGAAATGGTTTCAATTTTATTTCCTTCAATAAACCTACGCAAAAAGGGGGATACAGAGACAGAAAGACATAAACGGTTGTTAGGGGTGTGAAAAAACAGTCACAAGTCACATTTTTTTCCCCAAGTGATGTTGTAACGTCGAATGGTCACTAAACAAACAGTTGTAAGTTGAGGACGGCCTATACTTCGGGGAGCTGTGGAAATGGGAACAAAATCACACTTCAGCTTCGGACTTCCAGGGATTAGAGGAGAATTCCCCAACCGTTCCGGCGTTGCGGACCAGCGGAGGGGGGCGGGGAAATAGTTCGGCACGAGCAGCAGGCACGTGCATCTGTCCCATGTGCAAATGCAGTTCCAGTGGTGGGATTCAAATAATTTAACAACCGGTTCTCTGCCCTAATGACCGACTGGGTGGGCGTGACCATGGTAGGCGTGGCCAGGGGTGTGACAGGCAGCACTCGGCCTCCTGCACCCCCCTGGGAGCAAAAATGGGCCGCGGGGGGAGAAAACACCACCCCCGTGCCTCATTTTGGGCCTAGGAGGCCTCCCTGCACTTATCTGGGAGCCAAAATGGGGTGCGCGGAAGGGGCGGGGAGGGGAGGGGCGGAGCCAGCCAGCAATTTAACTACTGGTTCATTGAAACCGGCCCGAACCGGCTGAATCCCACCACATGTCCTTGCTTGCTGCTTGCACGAGTGGAGATGTGCATGAGTGTGTGTTCACTTGCCACTTCCGCGCCCTGGTTTCGAACGACTCAAGGCCTGGTACTGTGCTGCAGCCCGGGATCCCTGGATTAGAGGCTCCTTGTTGTGGTCTGCCAGCAGCCTGCGGAGCTGGCTGTGGAGTCAGACAGTGAGGAGGCTGGGCAGGAAAATGGGCCAGTTCTGGACTCAGGGGAAGGCCCAGATGAGGGCTCTGCGTCGGAGGCAGAAATGGGGTCAGGGCCATCTGGGAGTGATGCGCAGACTCTGGAGCCTCCAGAGGCGGATAGCAGAGAGGCAGAGGAACAGGAGGAGCCTGTTCCTAGTGCGCACATGTGAAGAGCTGCCCGAAGGCAAGAGTAGCTAAAGCAAAAAGGACGACTCAGGAGTAAGGCCAGGAGATGATTGGCCCCTCCCAGAAAGCTTAAAAGAGCAGCAACGGCTTTTGGGATCTTTGTAGGAAAGCAACGTTGCTACATTTGTTTCTTGTCGGCATCTCTTCCTTCTGAACTTCATGGGGTTTTGCCAAGGAAAGCCTTTGGCAGGGTGTCAAAGTAGACAAAGGTTGGTGATAAGGCCGAAGGACTGTTTATGAAGGATTTCTTTAGGAATTAATTTGGACTAAGCTGAGAATGAAGTAATTCTCAGCTGTTCTAATAAAATATGTTTGTTTAGGACTGATTGTGTCTGGTAATAACTACTTGGGCCTTAGCTCACAACACTCCTATGCTTGCTCTCTCTCTCTCTCACACACACACACACAAACACACACACACACACACACACAACCTCAGAACATCTGCAGATGCAGAGCGTCAGAATGTTGGGGTTGCAAAGATGCAGAAGCTGCTATCTTGCCACTAACGATTTTCAATAAAAGGTAGAATTTGTGGCACGTGGGATGAATAACGATCGAGCGGAAATGTTTTCGGTCGGAGGACAAAATTCGCTGCTTATAAACGATCAGAAAACAAAACCGTCCTTCCTTTTTTTAAGTCTTTGCAGGAGGTAGTAAAAGCAAGTGACTCACAGGTACTCAAGATGAAAAAGTCCACCGAAGGCGTCGTCCCTTATGACGGTAAACGAGTTAGAATTCAGCAGCCTTAAAAAAAAAATAAAAAATGGAAATGTAGGTATCAAGGTTTTTTTTAAAAAACAACAACAACAAACACATCGTTATGGTTAGTCCTCGACTTACCACAACGGAGCCCAGACTTTCTGTTGCTAAGTGACGCAGATGTTAAGTTAGACGTTACTAACTTAACAACTTGCAGCAATTCGTTTAGCAACG